AACGAGAGACTGCCTCGATCCCTCCGCTTCTCCGGCTCTTTTTCCCCTCCCTTTCTTTCTCTCTCCCCTTCTTCTTGGCAGAATGTATCCGCCCTTCCCATTGTCACCCATTGGAGTGTACGGAGGCGTGAGTGAGCTCCGGCCACTGTGTGCTTGTGTGGCACAATGGCCTTGCCTAAGTGCTGTCCTATAAAATGCCTCAGTGCTCTCTAAAAGCAAGCTCTGGATTCCCTCCCTGCCTTGAAAATAGATGAAGTGCTGTGCGTGCATGTGTGAGTGTGTGTGTGTGTGTGTGTGTGTGTGTGTGTTGTGTGACATCTGTCATTGAGTTGGCATTTTCAGTATGGAAACCAGTGCCTTGGAGCAGCGAGTACGCTCAGCCATAAAAACACCATTCTGGTTGACCTCAAGGTTGCCAGCAAGGCTGTAAACCTGTGTGTGCATGAGTGTGTCTCTTGTTTCACTGCACGCGTGTGTCCAGATCAAGGCTTAGAAGTATAGAGGCCAGGGTCTGACCCAAGAGCTGCACCCTGGCTCAGTAAAACAAGAGTATTGCCATTTGTTGCCCCCGACAACGCCGCTGCAAGTGACCACCAAAGCCTCATCATCGAGCTCAGTGTAAGATTTTTCACAGTACTTGGTTATGTTTCATAGCAGTGGCAATCATTTTGTCAAACAGGATGTCAGTTTACAAAATATGTGTTATAATAAATAAAGAAATCAGGCATTAAAAAAAAGGAACTGTGATGACATTAATGCATTTTAAATTGCTGCTGGATCAATACCAATTTCAATCATAGGTTAAAAAGCGTTGACACTCAGAGCTCAAAAAACTTTTTTCTACATGTGAAGTGATGCGTCATTAAAACATAAATGCATCGTGAACTGCACTGCACTGACATAGCATTTAGGCCAAATGCTATGTCTCAAGGTTGTGTTTATTCCTGTTTACAGCAGAGGTTACACTAGAAAAAGAGAAAACATGAAAAGTCCCAGAGGCCATGGAGCCCCAGCGACGGGTAGCTGTGGCTGGGGTAGCAGAGGGTCAACAGACGGGTCCAGTGATGGAGCTCAGCTGGCACTTAATGTGAGCCACTTACAGTCAAAGCTGCCATAGAGAGAGGGAAGGAGCAAGAGGACAGGAGAGGAGAGGAGAGGAGAAGAGAGGAGAGGAGGAATGAGGCTGAGTGTCTGGTGAAAGTCCAGGGCAGGGGAGGCACCACTCCAGGGGCCGAGAGGAACATCTGTGCCCCATTTAGTGATGTTTCTCCTTTTAATTCCCCTCGTTTTTCTTCTCTTTCATTTTGTAGTTTATAATCTCATTCTATCTATCTATCTATCTTACTATCTATCTATCTTCTTATCTATCTATCTATTATCTATCTATCTATTCTAATTATCTATCTATTCTATCTCATCTATCTATCTATCTTCATCTATCTATCTATTCTATCTCTCTATCTATCTATTTCTTATCTATCTATCTTCTATCTATCTATCTATCTAATCTAATCTATCTATCTCTATCTATCTATCTATCTATCTATCTATCTATCTTATCTATCTATCTAATCTATCCTCTCTTTAGGCGCAGGTCTGTATTCCCCACTGCATGGGCTACATTAGATTAATCACTAGGCCCTTGCACTGTGGCAAGGGTCACAAGGGTTAAATGGCAAGTCCAAGGGAACTTGTCCAGGTTGTTGTGTGTCAGCTGTTACAGGGTGCTGTGTGGTTGTGGGGTGGTGCATGTGTGCTCTTGTGCAGCCATCTCTCTTGGGTTTTAGCTCCGGCTCTCCTCTCGACCCCGCGCCTCCCGCGACGCTCTGCACTCTGCTCTCATTATTCCACGTAATGACACACACACACACTCCAGCACGAGCCGCTCGCCCCGGCCGCCTCTCGCCTTGGGTCCAGACAAACACACACACACACA